AAAAACTCCCCCCAATGCACCTCGTTTTTTTTTTTTTTTTTCTAAAAAGTATAAAATTGGGTGAGTTTTTCCTGCTGTCACACTCTTGGAGAAGCGTAACAAGTTCTGCTTTTGCTTGTTTTCACGTCAGAGGTCTCTTAGAAAAACCAAAAGTAAAGGAGAAGAGAAAAAACTACATGGCAGTGTCCAATGAAAACGTGCTCCTTCCGTGCCAGAAGCCAACATCATCCCAAAAAAAAAAAAGTGCCTTTTGAGTAAAATCGACTTTAGGAATAAAAAACCAAAAAAAATAAAAACACACAAAAAAACCCCCAAACCACAAAAGGATAAAAAAAAAAAAAAAATCCCAAGCTCTAGTTAAAAGCTTCATCCAAGCCCTGACGGAGCAGCCGCCCTGCAGCAGCAGGATGAGTCTCTTACCTGCCTTCACTCCCTGCTCGGGGGGGTCTCCAAGCCCTGAGATGTTTCTCCACCCCCTGACCGGATTTCGGGATGCCAAGGAGCTCCTGCCAGGCTGGAGCTTCACCTCCAAGTGCCTTTTTTCCCCCAAAAGAGGTGCCCGGGGTGGGGGAGGGGGGCCCAGCCCGGCTGGCCTGGCTGGAAGGGTCAGTGGTGGCCGTGCTGTTCCGGGGCAGCACATCCCTGGTACAGGGAACTCTCATAGCCCTTTGATCCTGCTGGTTTGGAATCAGCAGCGAGAAAAATCCCTGGAGAGCCCCCCCCCCCCCCCAAAAAAAAAAAACCACTCCCTGGCTCAGGTCACTGCCTGAGTAAGTGCTTTCCTGGAGCCAAGCTGGCCCCTGCATCTGGAAGGGGCAGGGAAAGGGGGGACAAGAGGGATCACACCAAGCTGCAGAAGTCATCGAAGCCCCAAAGGTTATCACGTAACCAGGGCGCTGGGGCGGGGGGTGGGGGTGGGGATTTGGGATGGGTTTGGGGCTGCATCGTTCCACTCTGGCTCCCAACCCAAAAGCTCTCATCAGAAAAACAAGGGAACACAAAACCAGGCAGTTTGGTCTGCCAAGTTGACAGAGAAAAGAAGAAAAAAAAACAAAACAAAACGCACACACACACACACAAAAAATAAATCTTCCAAGATAAATACACAGCCCCCATTTTGGAAGCATCTTCAAAAAAAAAAACCAAAAGAAACCTGGATCAACCGTTGTCAGCAGTGGCACAACCTCCCAGGAACATCTGTTGGGCTGGTGAGTCCTCGGCTCCCTTTTGAAGAGGGAACAGTTCAAGGGGAAAAAAAAAAAAAGAGAATCCAGCTCCCACCACACGCGGCTCCCGCTTCATCTGCGGAACAACCACAGCAATTCCCTCCCAGCAGCAGGCTGGGAACAGCGAGGAGCCCCTGATGCAGCAGGTTCCTGTTTGCTCATGGAAAGGGCTGGCAGTGGTAGCAACTGGCTAGGGGGAAGATTTCTTCCCAGAAAACAGTACTTCGGGGGGAAGGGGGGATTTAGGAAGGCCTGGGACCTCTCCCTGCGGATGGAAACCGGCCACGCTCGAGCATGCTGTCGGAAGGCAACACACATCAGGAATTCCCATGGAGTCCACGGCAGTGGGACAGCGACAACACGGAGGTTTTGGCTTCCAGGGATCCAGCGGGTCTCCCAGACTCCTTGGCTAATGCTGGGGAAAGCTCCCAGACTGCGGGGGTTGGCTTTAAGGGGAGGTTATTGCTCCTGACTTCTCCGGCTTTTTGCCTTTGGACAAGGCAGCTGCTTGCTTCAGGAGTTCTCTGTTCTTGGCCTGGGAACAGGGAAAAGGGGTGTTTAAGGATCAGCAGCAGCTCTTGGGGTCCCAGAATTGCCAGGGCAGGAGCTGCTGGCATCCTGCACAAAGGTGGAAAAGGAGGCAGATGTTGAGCTCAGCTCTGACCACCCAGAAGGGGCTCTCCCGTCCCAGCCCTCCCTCCTTCCCTCTGGAAAAAACAAAGATAAAATATTAAAACCTAAGAGCCTGGTCAAAAAAAAACTGATCCACATGAACAGTTCAAGGCACCTGCAGTACACTCTAAGAGGATTTGAGCTTTTATTCTGGAATCAGTGAAACTTCCAGAGCTCCAGCCAATACCCGTGGAAAACATGTGGACACCAGAGATCAGGGCAGTCCCAGCCTGAGCCGAGCCCAACGTGGAAATCCTCAGGAGAGGCACGAGGCTGGGACAAACCTGCTCCTGGAGGAGCTGCTGCTTCTTTCTCCTCCCTCACAGGGAGCAGGAAGCACATCCAGCCCTCTCCACACCACACACAGATGTTCCAGCCTTCAGCCAGGCACAAGGATGAGCGTGGTCAGGGGGATATCACAGGCACCAGCACTCTGACAGCAGCTGGAGGCCCCAAAACCTGCCCTGCACTGGGAAACTTCCCCGGGAATGTGAGGATGGAGGAGGGGCTCTTTCCTCAGGGGCAATAGAAGCCTTTTGTCTCATCCCCTCCCACCTCTCATGGCTGGGTCTTTAGATCCTTATACACCCAGAGTAATTAAAGGGTGCAAAGTTCATTTGTGTGTCTGATTTCTCCCCCTTTGACCTGATCCCTTCGGTGGCTCAGGCTATTCATGCTGATAATCCGCTGTGTCTCCACGGCCCTGGCAAAAATCCTGCTCTCCCTGTTCCCTCCAGCTCAGGGACTTCTTTATTTGGACTAGAGAGATACAGGGCTGAAGGAACTGCCAATTGTTCCTTTGTTCTCCCTCGTTACTGGTCACACCAATCAAAAGGGAGGTGATTTAGAGCTGACAAAGGTTCTGCAGGCTGGAGAAACAGGCTGAAACCTGATTTTGGCAACGGGCAAAATGAGTGTGATGGTGATTTCAGTCTAGTCCACAAGGGACACAACACGGTAAGTGTGAATGGGGGTTGGGATGCAGTGCAGAAGCTGCGGGACGGGGATGAGAAGGATTAACTGAGCTGCCTGTGCAGGAGCTCTTGGGGTGTTGTGATCAGGAGTGTCCTCAGTCACTCCCAGATAAAGCACAGCCCAGCAAACTGACCCAAAAATGTGTCACCTGTAACTGCTCCATGACCTCCTTGTGTGTCTTCTCCATCTGGTTCATCTTTGCCCTCATCTGTGACTCCTGGTACTGCAGGTCGGCTTTCAGCTCCGTGATCTGGGGAGAAACCAGGAAGGAGCAAGGGAGCTGGGAAAGGCAATGAATTCCCTCCCCACCCCAGACGCTCCCTGCCACGGAAAACACCTCTGCAGAAGGTGTGTGAGACTGGCTGAGGTCAGAGACGTGCCGGGGGAGTGCAAGCACAACCACAGCTGCGTCCCTGAGCAGCACAGGGCAGCGGAAAGAGCCAGGACTGCGAGGAGCAGCACGTTCATTCCCAGTCTTGCCCACACACAGAGGTCTCCCAGAGAGCGGTCAGGAAGTGACCCTTTATGAAATGAGATCTCCTGGGTGGGTCCGGAGAGCCTCTTTGGCTTTGGACAGGAGGCAGCCTGGGAGCAGCCAGACGTGCTCTTGCTCACTCCAAGATAAAACGCCAGGCTGTGATCTGTGAGAACATGTCAGCCTGCAGGAGGGGGGGGGAAGCAAGCCAAGGGCTCTGTACCTTCTTCTCCTTCTCCAGAATCATCTGATCCTTCTGGTGCAGCATCTTTTTTAAAGTAGCCACTTCCTCCTTCAGCTGGGCAATGATGACGAAGTGGTCGGTGCCAGGGGAGTCCAGGGCGAGGTCTGGGGAGAAGCTGCAGCAAAGAACAGGGAGAGGCTCTCAGCACAACCCCCCCTTTCCACCGAGGCAGGGGAAACTCCCACGGATGCACTCGGGTGGGAATCATTTCAGGATCCTTCAGAATCCTTTTTTTTTCAAAGCAAAGAGCTGAAGATAGCAATCAGAGAAATACTGAAACTTTTCATGATCCCTTTGGAACTCCTTTGCTCACAGGCAGTCCTTGGATGCACCGCAGAACTTCCCACTGAATGTAAACAAACATTCTGGCAAGGAGGGGACATGAAAGAGAAACAAATAACGCCCAAGTTCAACAAACAGAGCAAAGGGAACAGCTGAATTGAAGTCAGCACTGTCCTCGGCAGGGAAGAAGAGGTAAAAAACATGCTGGACTTTGGTTCTGCCACTGTAAAGCAATTTAGGGAGAAGCTTCATTACTTCAGAGCAGGAAAAACTCTCAGGGAAGGCAGAGAAATAGCTGAGCACATCACCTGTACACCACCAGGTCCCTAATCATAAGCAACCAGCTGGAAACTTACGTGGACTGGTAAATCACAAACCTCCCTAGGAGACACCCGGTGACCCGGGCAGCCACACACAGTCCTGTGCTGCAGGAATATTCTGGATCCTGAGATACCACAAGCTGCAGCCACAGGCCCAGAGAGATCACCCGATTTTTCCCTGCCCTCTGTCCCACCCCTAAGGCTGATTTTTATCTGCCGGTGCTAAGAGGGCAGTGCACTCCCAGCCACACACACACACACACACCTGAAATGGCTGTGTAAAAGCTGAGCAGCAGCGAGACAACAAAGCCTCACCTAGGAGATGATTCCAGGTCTGGCTGTTATCAGATAAATAAAGATAAATCGCCAGGGTCACCTGGAGCCTGACTTTTTTTTTCCTTTAAAGCCTCCAGAGTAGGTCAACATCGAGCTCTAAAGCTGGGAGCTGCAGCAGGGTGTGGAAGGCACAGTCTGAACCCAAAATTCTGCCTCTCTCAAGGATGTTTCCACCTCTGAGCTTCCAATCCCCCACTAAGGCAGAGAGCACCCACTGCTCACCTCACATGGGGTCTCCTCCAGCGCCTGGAAATGATCCCTTTCCTAATTAAAAGCACAGCCTGCTCTGACTGGACTCATTAGCCAGGATGTGGCAGGAGAAAGGCTCCTTCCCCCACCGTGCTGGGGATCTACAGAGGGGAACTAAGCAGAGGCAGCTTCCCAGATCTGAGAGTCAGAGGATGGCCCTGAGGCGCCGGGAGAGAAAGCCTGGCAGAGGAAAACTCGGGACTGAGGGGCTGCAGGAGACAGCCCGTGGTGGAAGAGCCTGGCACGGCTCAGACATGCTGACAGCAGAGCCCACACCGAGCTGTGGCAGTGCTCTGGGCACGCTGGATCCATTTTAAAACTGTTCCCGAGTAGTTTTCCCAAGTGCAAGGCTGAGCAGGATGATGGTGGGAGCTCCAGCACCTTCCTGTGTGCAAGCACGTTACCAACAGCAGCTTTAATTTCCCACTCAGTGCAAATATGCTGGGGAGGAGAGAGAGAAATCAAAAAAAAAAACAAAAACCCAAACCCACACCAAAAAACAGCCTCCATGGAGGAAAAAAGGCTTCCTCACCATTCCCTCTGGCTAAAAACAATCCCTTGACACACCATTCCTTTGCCCAGGCACGCTTCCCTCCTGCCGTGCCCTGGGGGGATAAAAGAGGGAGCTGGGAGATGCTCCCATTTCCCTGAGCAGCTCCAGCAGGAGAAAATTCCCTGCTTGGCAGATCCTGCTGCCCAGGACATCATGGAGCAGGGAAGGTGAGAGCCAGCCCTGCCACCCAGTGGGGAGAAGGGACAGGAGGGACAACCGACCTTCCACAGGGCACCCACCAGCTGGGAATGAGGGCTTGGAGTTATCAGGGATAACCTGATAACCCCCCCTTGCTGGGGGGGGATAAAATATAGATAAATACCAGGCAGGTATTTTCCTGTCCAGTTGCTGCAAAATGCCCCCTCAAATATGTCAAGTGGTAATTAAAAAAACAGCTTTTTAAAGAAAAAAATCCCTCTTCTTTCATTTTTTTTTAAAGGCTGACAAGTTAGTAATGAAAGGTTCCTCTGTCTTTAAGGAAGCAGCCTGAGACTCCAAAACTGGAAGGAAAACTGCCAAATGCAAGTCACTTCATTCCTCTGACAAACAGATCAAGAATTAAAACCACCACCAACAACAACAACAAAAAAAGCCACGTCCTCTACAAATAAACTCAGCATCCCAGTCCCTTGGGATAGGTCAGGGGGGCATGTCCCCCCCCCCCCCGCTTGAACAGCCTAAAATGCACGTTGCTAATTAAAGGGAACTGATGAGCTCCCGTTGTTTTCAGTGGAGACAGAGGACAAAAATGGAGCCGTTCCAAAGGCACCTGCCTCTCTCTATTGACTGGAACAGAAACCGAATTGACTGCCTTCAACTCCACACCTGTTAAATGGCTGAAATTAGGCAAAGCAAATGCCAAGCTTGAAGATTTTGCTATTCAAGTCAGGCTGGCGTGAAGAGGCACAGACCAGGCACGGAACCAGCATTTCCCCTCAGGTTTCACCTCAGACAAAATCCACCGGGAATACAGCAGCCAGCCCTGGGCTCCAAACACCAGCAGGACCTGGAGCAGCTGGAACGATTCCAGAGGAGGCCACGGAGATGCTCCCAGGGCTGGATCCCTCTGCTCTGGAGCCAGGCTGGGAGAGCTGGGGGGGTTCACCTGGAGAAGAGAAGGCTCCAGGGAGACCTGAGAGCCCCTTGCAGGGCCTAAGGGGGCTCCAGGAGAGCTGGAGAGGGACTGGGGACAAGGGATGGAGGGACAGGGAATGGTTTCCCACTGCCAGAGGGCAGGGTGAGATGGGATATTCAGAAGAAATTCTCCCCACCCCTGGAAGTGTCCAAGGCCAGGCCGGAGCAACCTGGGCTAGTGGAAGGGGTCCCTGCCCTGTGGAATGAGATGGACTTTAACGTTCCTCCCAACCCAAACCATTCTGGGATTCCAAGAAAAACATCCCTCACGTGCAAAACTCCATCCAGGCCAAAGGACCGGAGTCTGGACCCACACTCCCTCTACCACCCCAAAAGCGGGTGCAGTTCAGCCGAAGTCCCAGAGCTTTAAGCTTTTTAAAGCCAGGACTCTTCTATGCAAAACGAGGACCCTTTTACAAAGGAGCTTTGCTGCTGAGCACCCTCAGGCACCGCTGCCCTCCCCCAGCCAGCAGCGCTGTCACTGCCTGGTGTTAAAAGCCCAATTTAGCACCTTGTCTGCAGCGAGAGGAGAGGGGACCGCAGCCTGTTCCCTCTGCAGAGCCTGCAGTGTGAAAAACACTTCGGCAGCATTTCCACAAGAGGAAGGGGACACCAAAACTGCCCAAATCAGGACCAGAAGAGCTCCAGAGGCTGGAGGTGATGCCAGAGCAGGACTGAGGGGCAGGATTAGTAAGGCCAGGTCTGCTGCAAGATGTGCTGAGAGCACTGTGAGGGAAAACTACCTCCCCCTGCAGCAGGGCCTGAGCTGTTTGCTCCTCCCAGAGCTGCCCCAGGACAAACCATTCAATACCATCCTTAAAATGACTGCTGGCAATCGCCCTGTCCCCATGTCACAGCCACTGGGAGCAACAGCCACCCAAAATATGTAAGCAAACACACAGAGAGAGAATTCAGTGAGAGGAATTCCTACAGAATCCTAAAAGGAGCAACGATTTCAGATAAGCTGGACCTCGTTGGAGGTGTTGCCAAAGTCAGCTGAGCACAAACATGCCCAAATTTTGCCCAGGTGAGGCTGCACCAGAGGTTTGGCTGGAGCCAGGAGACCCTGCACAGGAAGGTGGGGCTGCTCTCTGCAGTGAGGAGGTGCTGGTTGTGTCACCCCACTCCTGACTGTGCTGCTGCTGCAAGATCCCAACCCCACGCCCAGGCTCTGCCCTAAACTCCAGGCTGACTCTGGGGAGGACAATCTTACAGAAAATAGTGCAGAAGGGGAGGGGCTTAGGGGTTCATCCTCACAAAAAAACCCCACCCTCAGCAACTCCAAAACCCCATTTAATGAACCCCCATTATTATTCCACTCAAGACACACGTGTCTATTTAAGGCAGCTGCAGCTCTTGCCTTTTCTGCAGCACGTTGCTGAAGCTCTTTAGTTGCTAAATTTACACTCAGTTTGTTACTGGGATTCATAAAAAAAAAAAAAAAATAGTCTGTAGCAAGGCCCACAGCCTTGGCAGGAGTCAGACTGACAACATCTGACACGAGAGCAGGAGGGAGGCACTTGATTGCTCCAATCCATGCTCCTGTTTTCTAAGGGAATGGCTGAGCAACCCCAGAGCACAGGACATTTTGGGGTTTGGGCATTTTTAAGCCAGCAGGGCTGTTGCAGGGAGTTATGAGATCTCAGCCCAGGATTTAATGGGCAGATAAAAACACGTGGTGCTGTCCTACAGCCTCTCCAGAAGGGAAGCTGCACCAGGACTGAAGGGCTGCCCCAGTTCTACCAGGGACCTGTGTCCAGCCTCTCCTCTGGCTCCACCAGCTCTGAAGGCAGATGAATTCTGACCCCTCTGTGCTCAGCCACGACCCCCAAGCTACATTTAACCCTTAAATATTTTCAACTTTTTACTTGCAACACTGTTCAGGTGATAAACGGTCTTGTAGACCACTCTGTGGGAACCACTGCCTTATAAAATCACTGGAGTTCTACTTCATAGAATCATGGAATGGTTTGGTTTGGAAGGGGCCTTAAAGAAGATCTTGTTCTTTAAGGGACACCTTCCACTGACCCCAGGTTGCTCCAAGCCCTGTCCAACCTGGCCTTGGACACTTCCAGGGATGGGGAATTTCCCACGGGAGCATTTCAGACATCAGCACTGACTAGGTGTCAACAGCATCTACAGGAGAGATTGGATCTGTGATCTCAGAGACATTCAAGGCAGGTGGTGATGAATTATTTACCAGGGGCTTTACCAGACCCTTTGGCACTAACTGTGCTCCCAAATCCCTGCTGTTTAGAAAGAGATCCACGGAGAGGGAGAGTTCCCATGTGTGAGGCAGTTCCCAGGGAGGGAGGGAGGGGAGAAAACAACAGGTGATCTCACTTCAGGATGTCAGTGCCTTGAGCAACAGGACAATGGTGGGCCCCGAGAGCCTGCTGGGAAGCAGCCCACTGCGCCAACGTGGACGGGGCCCTCTGGATAAGGGGGCAAAGCATCTCGGGAGAGGAAGGAACGCTGAGAATCAGAGAGGAAAGGCAGGAATGAAAATATGCATGTACAAGACCACAAAAACACAAATCCACCTCAATCTCCTGTTTCTGCTAGTGACCCTCCCCCTATCCTGCTGCACAGGCAGCTGATGACAACGGGACCCAGCACTGAGTGTGACAGCAGGATGGGGTTGGATGCTCTCATAGAATCATGGAATGGTTTGGGTTGGAAGGGACTTTTAAGCTCGTCTCGTTCCACCCCCCCTGCCATGGGCAGGGACACCTTCCACTAGCCCAGGTTGCTCCAAGCGCTGCCCAGCCTGGCCTTGGACACTTCCAGGGATGGGGAGTCCACAACCTTTCAAGCAAAGCTGTTTGGTTGCTCGTCCCTCTCCCAAAGGCAGGAGGGGACATGGGAGGTGGGTCTGGATCCTCTCCTGTCCTCTGACACCAACCTGACAGCCCCCAAAGCACAAACCCTGCAGGTGCTCAGCATTCTTTTCCTCTTCCAACCTGTGCCTAAAATGCCAGGCAACACCGGCCTGCCAGGTTCTCGTGCAGCCCCTCGAGGGCCCGAAGCCCGAGATCCCTGCTCTGGCACAAGAGCTTCCTGCTGTTCACACACAACTCTGTCTTAGATAAACTCAGCAAACAGACCCACCCACCCACAATTTCCCCATGTAACGGGCTCACCTGTCTCCATTGGCAGATATGGCATCGAACTTGGCTTTCTTCTTTGGGATTTCGTTCTGAATGGAAGAGGTGGATAAGGTTTTCTGGCTAGAAAAAAAAAAAAAAAGGAGGAAATTGTATGTCAGAACCTGAATGACTTTCAGTCTAAGACAGAGGGAGGCAGATAAATATTCCCACCCACTTTGATCCCATTAAAACAATATTTCCCAGTGCAAGAAAGAGCGATAAAAAATTCATTCCTTGAAGAGTCGCTGGAGACTAAAAATAAACAGAAAACAATGAGTCAGGCAGAGCAGCACGTGGGTGAAGAGTTCCTGCTTAGAAATCTGCATTTTAATCATTAAATTCTACAAATGCAACTTTCACTGTGTACAAGTTCAGCAAGCTGGATCACTCAGAAGCACGAGTCTGCAGCACAGCAGGGCTTAAAAAACAAGCAAAGCCTGGCCTAGCCAGGTCCTCCTGCACTTAGACAGTGCCCGAAGCCTTCCCCAAGGTTACCTGTTGTAGTGGCTGCCACTGCTGAGCCTGCTGAACTGCTCCTTCTCCTGCAGGCTGGCCCTGGAAGAGCTGCTCAGGTGTTTGCACTGCTCTTTGGTCTTCTGCAGGACCCGTTTGTAGGACAACGTGCACAACCAGCACAGCAGCTTCCCATCCACCTGCGAAGGGAGGGAGGCAAGAGAGGAGTTTGGGCTTTCTTCTTTGCCTGCTCATAAAGCAAACAGAGAAGAGGCAAGAAGAACCTTCAGGCTTAAGATCACACATGGACAAGCAGGGACTCAAAGAGGATCCTCTGGATGGACACCACACCAGCAAAGGTCTGTGCTCCAGGAGGCTCAGCAGGACAGGGATTATCAGGGCAGCCTCCCAAACGAGGAGGTGTTTACAGTCTGCAGGGAGCAGGCCTTGGGAATACACACACCTCAGGAATACACACCTCCTACAGAGCACTTGGGGTGTTCAAGCCAAGGCTGTGCAGAAGCCATGGAATGGGTTTCCTGGTGGTGGTGTGACACTTCCAGCTCCTCATGCACAAATAGCATTCCCCATCCCTCTCCCTGAGCAGCACCTCACTTCTCACCCAGAGGCCTCTGCTCCTCTGCCACCCCCTGGGACAAATCCAAGAGATCTTTCTCAGTAGGTCTGGCAGAGGAGCAGAAGGGGTTTTAAAAATCAAACAGCTCTAAACCACAGCAAAGCTCGGCTCCAGAAAAACACTCCATAACCAAGGGACACCCCCTTTTGGAACCATGGAGTGGTCTGGGGTGGAAGGGACCTTAAATGTCATCCAGTCTCATGGAAGGGACACCTTCCACTAGCCCAGGTTGCTCCAAGCCCTGTCCAGCCTGGCCTTGGACGCTCCCAGGGATCCAGGGGCAGCCACAGTTTCTCTGGGCAAACCTGTGCCAGACCCTCCTCACCCTCACAGCCAAGAATTCCTCCCCACATCCCATCTAACCCCACCCTCTGTTGAGGTGAAGCCATCTCCCCTCGCCTGATCCAAAATGCTGGCGCAGCCCTGAAGAAGATGAGCAGAGCATCACTGTGATCAGCCCTTCCACCTTTCCAGCCTCCTTTTCCACCAAAACTCACCTTCTTCCTGTCGTCCTTCCTGTCGAAGGCACACTGCTGCTTGCACTGCTCACACGAGTGGGGGGGTCCATACTTCTTCTCCGAGTTGGTGCAACGCTGGCACTTGTTTCCAATAAATGCTGCTATGATGTTGCAGTACTGGCAGGGCTTTGGCTTCAGGGGGCAAGAACAACTGATTAACACATTGCTCCTCCCCCTCCTCTTCATCATTTCCCACTTTTTATTTCCTCATAGGATGCTGATCTAGGAGATATAACTCCATTTGGACCCCTGGTCTCCAGCTGAGTGTATCTATCCATGGCACACCCAGGTGCCGTGAAATCTTTAGGAAGATGTCCAACACCCAAACAGAACCAATCCAAATCTCTATTTCAGACTTCAGACAGGCAGGAAATAAAGATTTATCACCGCTTCCTGCAGCAATCTCAGTCTGTGTAAGCACACTCCTGTTTCTGCTGGGCATCAAGCAGATCATTTCCTGGCCTTAAACGATGCAAAGCTGCTCTTTTTTTTTCGGTGCTAAAAGGAGAGAAAAAGTCAAAGCTTCACGCCTGAGTGACCTGTGGTATTGATCAGTCGTGCTCTTACAGCACAGCCAGCCCATAAACTGCTCTGGGATTTCCAGCAGGATAAAGACAAGAGAGAGGAAAGGAAGGGAGGCTCGTGAATCACTTACTGTGCCGTAGAGCTTCACGTTCTGAGCACACTTCTTGCATATCGTGTTGGTTTTGCTGTCGGAGGAACAGAGGGCAGGTCATTCCATTGACACCTCCCCACAGAAAACAAAACCTCTGCGGTTAAGGAATCCCAGGATCCCTGGGTGGGATCCCAGCCTCCCCTCTGCTCCACCCCTGAGACTCAGATATCAAAGTGCTCTTCCAAACCCCATCTGGCTGAGGACAAATTGCCACAAAGTGGCATCACTAAGAGGTGTCTTTTAATTAAAGCACCCCCAGATGACACCAGTTTTTTCTGTCCTCACAAACACAGGATTTGATCACTGACTAATTGGGGAGGAGGAGTGATTCAGCACTGTCCTGGGGGATGAGGTTAAGGCAGGTGAGGACAGAAGTGTGTTTGTCCAACAAACACAGCAGGGAACACCCCACTTGGCTCTGGGTTTACCAGCCCTCCTCCTGCCTTGTCAAAATGCAGGAAGGCAAAAGCCCAGCTGAAGGAAACACGACAGGGAAGAAGTTCTGGGTACCAGAACTCAGGTAAGAGGGAAACTCGTGGGAAGGAGCACCCAGAGCCTTCACTGGAAGGTGCATCTGAGCACTGACCAAAAAATAAAACCCAAGCAAAAGGTGAAGCCCGAGGGCACTGCAGACACTGGGACTCGCCCAGCAGACCTTTGAAGGCGAGCAAAGGTCCCCCAGGTTCTTCCACAGCAGCAATTAGGGCTCAGTCAGCGGAGGTGTGGAAGCACTACAGTCACCCAGGCGTGTCTGCTGCACAGGAAACACGGACGTGCCCAGCTCAGCAGGCATTTACCTTTCCTGCTGGAATTCGGTCCTGCAGTAAGTGCATTTGACAATGGGGTGAGCGATCCGGCACTCCTGCAGGGACATGGGTGGTCAGTGAGGCCTCAGTGCTCTGCTCCCACACTCCCATTCCCTGGATCCCACGGCTCCTGCCGCCCTCCACTCCCCAACACCTCCTGCCTTTAGTCACGGTGGATGAGGAAGGGTGGCAGGGATGTGTCACAAGTGTGAACTGAGATCCGTGACTGGGGCTTGTTTGTGCCAGAGGTCCCCCTGACAAACAGCTCCTCTCAGCAGCCCCCCAGATATCCCCCTGACAGCCCCCAGGCTCTATCCCTGTGCTCCAGCCCCTCCCAAACCTCCCAAATGCTCCCAGGGCCTCACCTACACCCTCCCCCCCTTGCCCACCCCACAGACCCAAAACAGCCTCACAGCTCCCCACTCTCCAAAGCTAACCCCAGTGCCTCCCCACAGTGCCCTCAGTCCCCCTAAGAGCCCCCAGCCCCCTGCCTGCCCTCCCTCACAAACAGTGATCCGGGGGGAAAAGACCCCTCAGCCCCCACAAATTCTCTCACAGACCCTCCCTGAGCAGCTCCGCCACAAACCACCTCCCCAGTTCCCTCAGTGACCACCCGCTCCAATCCCCC